ATGCTCCAGTGACCGCATGTAAGTTGGCCCGAGCACTAACTTTTCGGGAAGAAAGCCTTTTTCCCTATATACCTGGTTTCTCACTTAATATCCGCCCGAGTTTCGCATCTCTTCCGTTTCTCCTCATCGCAGCTTCTATCAAACCGCAATTGCCCGGAAACTAGAACCGCACATCTTATCTGATAAAATCGTTCGCCCTTTAGACCGATTCTGGGGGGTTAGGCTAGACTATTCGATGAGTCAACTGTTGATCTAATTTCATTACGTGAACGTAGAAGAAAAACGGGGTAAAAAATCACTAATGTGTGATCAATTTTCAGGGACAATTCTGTGATTTCTCCTACGATTTTAAATAGATGAAAACGCGTAATATCAAAAATCTAAGCTCAGATTCGGACTCCTCGTGAAAAATTGATGAGATATTATGCATCATATGTTAGAATAGCGTGAAGGAAAGAGGTTTAATGACGTAAAAAAACACTAATGTGTGATCAATTTTCAAGGACAATCCTGTAATTTCTCCTACGATTTTGAATAGATTAAAACGCGTAATATCCAAAATCTAAGCTCAGATTCGGATTCCTCGTGAAAAATTGATGAGAATTCATGTATCTTATGTTAAAATAGCGTGAAGGAAAAAGGTTTAACGACGCGTATAGATTCTCTTTGAACTACGCCGCCGCGCTGCGCCGGTCGCCCGCGATGCAACCGAACGGTGAGGCGCCGGCCGACGCTAAGCATTCGGTTTCGTCCCGAGGAATTCCTCGCGATAAATTCTTATTCTTCCTCCTCCGCTGACCCACTGAGCACTACCCATGTTGCCACGTTGGATTCATATGCTTGAATCAGCATGCCTACGTTACGTCTCTTTCCTTCACGCTATGCTCGGGTATGATACATGAAATTGTATTAATTTTTAACGAGGAATCCGAATCTGAACTTCGATTTTGGGTAGGTATCACGCGTTTTAAGTAAAATTTTCCAAATTCGAAAATCTGAAATGACTGACGTGGCTTAAAATGCCATCTCGGCTCCTGTTCGATGGCTTTTCCTGAAATTCGGTGTCAGGGTATGATACATGAAATCGCATCGATTTTTTACGAGGAATCCGAATCTGAACTTCGATTTTGGGTATCACGCGTCTTAAGTAAAATTTTTCAACTTCAAAAATCCGAAATGACTGAAGTGGCTTAAAATGCCATCTCATCGGCTCCTGTTCGATGGATTCTCCTGAAATTCGGTGTCAGGGTATGATACATGAAATCGCATCGATTTTTTACGAGGAATCCGAATCTGAACTTCGATTTCTGAAATTCGGTACTCTCGTAACTCGAGGTATTTTTCGACAGGAAACTCGAATTTTTAGTCCATTTTTTAAAATTCTCAAATTCAAGATGGCGGACGTGGGCTAAAAAGCTATCTCGGTTTCTGTTCGTTCGAGTATTGTGAAACGCGGTATCACACGGTATTTTTCAACGGAAAACTCGAATTTTTAGTCAACTTTTAAAAATTCTCAACTCCAAAATGTTGGATGTGGCCTAAAATGAGCCCCGGTTCTGGCCTCCGTTTCTGTTCGTTAGAGCTTTGTGAACCGCGGGATCAGGGGCACTTTCCGACGGGAAACTCGAATTTTTAGTCGATTTTTAAAAATTCTCAAATCCAAAATGGCGGACGTGGCCTAAAATGCTATGTCGGCTCCTGTTCGATGGATTTTTTTGAAACTCGGTGTCTGAGGGTATTTTTCGACCGGAAACTCGAATTTTTACTATGTTTAAGAATTCTCAAATCCAAGATGGCGGACGTGGCCTAAAATGCTATGTCGGCTCCTGTTCGATGAATTTATGGCGCCCCCTTACTACATGCCTACTCTTGTATTTCTGTACAGCCGCAAATTTAGGGTCAAGGGGCGCCTGACCGTCTATGGACCAGGTGGAGTTTTTGTCCTGAAAATTTACCTTAACGGCAATTCTCTTTATATTTTGTCTATGGTTTTTATGCCCCCCCCCTTCCTCGCGGACTCTCTTTTCACTTTTCTTGCCTCCTTTTTCCTTCCATTCCCCCCTTCTTCCTTGCTTTCACTGCCCAACCTTGTTTCCTTTTCCTTTTTTCCCCTTGTCCTTTCTTCCCTTCTTTTCCTTTTCCTTTCCCCCCCTTTTTTCCCTCTCTTCTTCTTTCGTGGCGTCCCCCTAAGGCTGGCGCCCGTGTGCGCCGCACGCCCTGCACACGCCCTAAGTCCGGACCTGGCTCTGCTGAAGTCAAGAACAAAACCTAGTTGCTTGATGAATTTTGCCCAACGTTTGTATCACCTCACCTTTCGACTTGCTTTCGACCCACCTCAGGAGGTGGGTCGAGAATTTTGGATGTGGTCGTTATTGCTGTTGGCATGAAAACCAAATGTTGTAGGTGCATCGTCATCTGGCGGGAATTCCGTTTTGTTATTTACTGTTTTATAATTTCCCTCCTCTATGTACCATCCCTTCTCTCTCTCTCTTCCTTCTTCTATTAGTCTCTCCTTTCTTTGTTCATCCCTTTACTATTTTAGGCATCTGGTTTTGACCTAGAGCAAGGGCTTTCTTAAAATTAGGGCTCTGCCTTAAAATTAGTTCTGTTTTCATTTTCCAGGTTCCTTCATCAGGAGAGACTTTTTCATTTTAATTCAGATGTTTTTTTATAGGGCTAGTCAACTAGTGTTCCGTCTTTAATTCGGAGCCAATGATTACTGAGCTGTAAGTACATAAAGGCTGCTGTCATCACATTTTCAACCTTGGCTACTTCGAAATTCTTGATTAATCTTTCAATATTTCTATATCATACTTTAAACACTTGAAAATGAATGGATGGAACATTTTTAAAAAAATATTGTTTATTTTACAGTAAATACAAGCAAAAAACATGTTTTGATAGCTTCAAACAAGTACGATAAGTTAGTCCCTATCAACTACTATAAAACAAGTAACGTCTTTACATAACATTCTTTAAAAAACTGACTTCTCAATGCAGATTTTTAAGATGAGATGGAACAATGATTAGAGGCGTTTCAAAAAAGCACATTAAAACATACCTTGGTAGAAAAATAAAATTATCAACAATAAAGAAATAAATTAGAATTTCCGTTGACAGCAGTCACAAGAAAAGTAACATTTTCTGAGGAGACATAAAAATATTCTTACTACGAAAATACACTAAATAAGTAACAAACAACGAACAGCCCGTCGGAAAACATAATCACAGAAAAGAACACTATACTCTTCTTGGTTTAGGATTGTAACACGTGCTGGAGCATAAAATCAAAATGTATTATTATTCATTCTCAATTCTTCAAATTAAACTTGTTCAGTGATTCATTTCGGTTGAATTTCTTAAGTCAGATGAGACATCCTCTAGAGGACCTAATGGAATGTTTTTGACATCATATAATGGTTAATTTTTAGTCAGCCTTTTTTATGCTTCGAAATTTTTAAGACCCTTCTTTTCAAGCAACTACTCGCTGATTATTGACTGATGGCGGAGTCTTCAGTGCCAAATTAATTTGAAAAGAAAAAAACCTGAGGTCACAGATAAAGGTTAAATTTATTTCTTTTTTTTCACCATCATATGATGCCAAGCTGGCAGTAAATATGAGGATCAAACTGGGAAGCACACATAAAGATAGTTAAATTGATGCGGTAATTTAAACCTTTGTCTGATTTGGATCCATATCCAGTGCTCTATATTAAATTTTGTCGATTGATTCGGTACGTAAAATAAAAATTTAACTCTTAGAAACGTTAAAAATCCGAGGAGTAATGAACAAAAGAAAAAAAGTGAGAGGACGTTCAGAAAAGCAACAATTTTTGTAATAAAGGAACAACAATGGTTTCAAGTCCTACCCCTGCTAAGGTGAGCTAAGTTCATGAATACATCAATTTATCAGATTTAAGACTGATTGTGAGTGACACTTTGAACATTAGATGGATTTTGACTCTTGCAATTAAATTCAAGAGAGAGGCTGGAATGTAAAATATCAAGCCCTAAATAAAAAAGTGTATCATCAGATAACATTCCTCTGGCTTCAGGTGCTGCAATTGACTGCTTTCAATTATAGGCTTTATTTGGTTTTTAAGAAAGAAAACTAAATGATTTCATCAGCTTACAGTCTTACCTGTAACATAGCTCCCTTAATTATTTGTTGAAATTTGAGATTGCTGTAAGAAGTTATTAACTTTTCTGAAAAAGGTACAAAGACTGAGTAAAATGAAGAGAAAAGGAAAGGAGAGGGGGAAAATAAAGAAAGATGTAATGGAGATATGAGCAGGCCCGCCACAAGGGGGGGGATACTGGGTCCTTGGTACCGGGGCCCGGGCCCTGGAGGGGCCCGTGACGCAGGTTACAAACCACTACGAATTCATGTGTAACCCTTGTCTCGTAGGGAAAAGTGAAAAAATTACCCTAAAAATTCCGCAAAAGGTGAATAAAGTTTCAAAAACACGCTAGGGAACTATAAAATTTTTCTTACTTTTTTAGAGATTTTCAAGATTTTGAGTATATGTAGAATGATATTTTTAGTGACTGTTTTTCATTTTCTTCCGTTGTCGGATGCTAAGAGGCTCCTTTCTGGGCATCCTCGACTTCAATGGCTTAACTCCCTTGCCATAGACGTACGAAAGGGGAGTCCAGGGGGGCCCGGCTCCCCATAGAATTGAAAATTATCATCTGCCTCCTCAAAAAAAAATTTATAGATGTTTTGAAGGCAACAATTCGAAAGTTTTTGGTGCTGAAAGTAAACAAAAAGGCGTAATTATTCTGCAGAAATTGATGGAAAATCTCCATCATAAGAGCTTCATAATGCGTCCAAATAGATTTAAAATACCAAAAATTTCCCGGGGGAGGCCCCCCGGACCCCCCCCCCCCATGTGCTAGGGGCCCGGGCCAGAAAATTGGTACCAGGGCCCGAGATGGGATGTGGCGGGCCTGGATATGAGTAAAGTTACATTCCGAATTAGAAGAAAGCAAAACTAACATGAGGCTACAGAAAAACTTTTATCAATGATTAAATAGGCGCAGGGACATTTCCCATTTTTTTAAGTATGAAAATAACACAAGAAAGGGATAAAAAAAAAAGTACATATTTGATTCTAAGATACAATGAACTTTGAGACTGATTTTAAATAAGTTTTCAGTTTTTACTAGGAAAACAAAACTAGAAAAGGTACGTGTGATACACAATTGATAATGCACAATGAAAAAACAAAAAGCCACAGCCGGAGAGTCACAACAGCAACTAGTGCTATCTCAAGTATCACTTACGCTGAGAAATGACTTCAGCCACTTCCTACTTCTGTGCACTAGCTGTGGCATAATCTAAAAAAGCAGGTCACAGCTTTGCGAATGGGTAACTTGACTAATATGTGAAAATTTTTAGATACATACAACAAAATGAGGTTTTCGGCGGAAGGCAACAAGTTCAAAGAAATACACAGGTCCCTGAAGATGCGAGGAACTTGAGCGAGACGATCAACCATCGATCACACGAGAGAAAAGCCCTCTGTTTGCTGAATAGCTTGCAACAACTTGTAGCGAAGTTTCTCTTTGGTTTTGTATCGTGGTAAATCTAGTAAGTTGAAACAGGTGTGGGCCACTGGAAGATATTTATCATCAGTTGTAGGCTGGATTATAATCTGTAAAAAAAAAATAGACAATGAGGTTTTAGAAATTAGGCTACAAAGATCTAATTACAACAGATGAACTATTTTTCTGGAAGCCTAGAAATTAGAAAATAGGATTAAAATCTGGAAGAAACTGTATTTAAATATATATATATAAAAATACTAGAGCTGGGTCCGATATCCGGCTATTATCCAGATTGCCAGATTATCCAGCCAGATACGATTTTCATGAGTATCTGTATCCGGCCAGATAATCGCAATATCCGGTTTTTAGACCCGCCGCATAGTGCTTTTACAGCGTGAAAATTTCGAGAAATTTTTGGGGATATTTTGGCATTTTCCGGCGCACTTTGAGTAGTCATTGTAATTGTTCAACTTTTTGAAACTTGTTATCACCGGAATTAAGGACATTTTCTGCACATTTACACGATTGCAACATGATCCTTAACTCCGAAAGTTCGCGTGTTTCACTTTCAAAGACAAAGAGGCAGGTGGAAAGAAGGAAAAAAAAACAATGCCACCAACATGTGCATAAGTTCCCTGTTGGTAATATTTTTAGTCTAAGTGTAACCCCGCACTTATTATACGTCGCAGTACGCAGCTTGTTATTGCAGCATCAGAGCGCTGTTTTCCACTATTGTCTTGTTTAGGCACATTTCTAATGATATCTCTCTTTCTGCACATCAGATTCATCTGGCCCATCACACCATGAAGCCAATGAAAGCCATGCTGCTTATCTGCCTAATCCTTTTTTATAATATTCGTTTTAGCGGGGCGACTTATAGCATATCATTGAAACATATGGAGGTTGCCGGTGGTGTAACACACAGTGTGCCTCTTATCCCAAGCGCAAAATCAGGAGATTTTTCTCACGCGAAGCAGCCTTATCCGGATCCGGTATTATCCAGTTCCAGCCGGATACCTTGATAAATTATCTGGAACAAGAAATCGATATCCGTATCCTGTGACGCGGAAAATCCATTTCGGCCCAACTCTAATAAATACTATTTTACATAGTTTAACAAATCAAAAACCTAAGCGCAAAAAAGGGCGTTTAAACATTTACTAGGTGGAGCTCACGGGTAAAAATGGAGGAAGACCTGGAATAAACTGTAAGCACAGATTACAATGGTAACATGATCAACTAACAAAGAAATCATTAGGTCATGTTCACTCTAAGCTGATGTAAAAGTAAGAAACGGGACAAAAACTAAGAAATTAGAAATTAACGAAAAGCTAAAAATTTACCTTAATATCTTTCATTCCCTTGATGGGGATGCGGTCTGAACCCGTTAAGAACAACAAAAACTTCCTCTTCTCTTCTTGGGGTAAGGCATGGAAAACTTCCCAGAACATTCGAATTGTTTCATCGCTGGAGGTGTAACCATTCTTGTAATCTGCTGCTTCTTCTAACTGATACCAGTCATAGTTTTCATTGCCTATAGTAGACAAAAAACAAATCAGAGTTGTTTGTTGGTAAAGGTAAGAAAAGGAAAAGAAATTGAAACCGAAAGGAAGAAATTTGAATGTAATTTTTTCATCAAACACTTTAGTTATTTTTTCAGGTTCATTGCAGAAATTCTAAATATATCTTCATGGAGAGTCCATGCCCTCCATGAGCCTTGGTACTGACTTCCCAAAATCCGAGCTTTCCTCGTAAATACTTTTCCTTTATCATAGACACCCTGCTGTTTAATTTTTTGATGGAAATCTTCACAATGCTGACATCAATCTGTTTTTTTTAGATTAAGCAAGATTAACCAGACTGAAAATTATACACAGAACAGAGCACCTGGATTTACCTCGAGTAGGTGTGTTTTCTCTTTTTTTTATGGTCCATCGATAATCATGTTGGGGTAAGGCGTAAAAAGGGAAAAATAGCTAAAAAAAAATTACAAAAAATAATACGCTGAGGGCTAGTGTTTAACCATATCCACTCTTTAAAATTGATAACGTCTGAGACTGTATAAGAGCTTATACAGCGTGGGACTTACCGATTACTACTGCCATTAATTCACTGGCTTGGAAAAGCTTTAGAACTCTACCACCGCACACTTTATGGAACATGGTATGGAATGCATTGTACTGTTTCTCCACAGATTTGTTCAGGACGTAGTCTACATACAAGTCAACAAATTCATTCCTAGAAAAAAAACAAGAAAACGATCAGAAATGAAAAAAGAAAGAAAAAAAACACAGTCAACACGGAAAAAGATAAAAAGAGCAGCTTTAAGCAACTTGCCAGCCCTAGAGAAAATATTACCTTGCGGTGAGCTAACCGTCACCTTGCGGCAAGGTATCGGCCTTGCCACCCTCTTCGAGCCCTATCCGAGCCCTCGCCGGGTCGGTTCGTAGAACTTAACGACTGGGAATAATTATGCATGGCAACGTCGGAGACGAAAATCAAACCCAACACGGGGTATTTCCCGATGCTGTGTCGCCTTTTCCGCGCCCTGCGTCTGGATTTGGGTCTACAGTGTTGTCATACGGTTTTATTCCCGGTCGTCGAGTTCCTTGAACTGGCTCGGCGAGGGCTCGGAGAGGATGGCAAGGCCGATACCTTGCCGCAAGGTGATGGTGAGCTCACTGCAAGGTAATATTTACGCTAGGGAGAGGCAAATTTCAAAAATTTCTGAGAAGGAAAAAAAGAAAATGATCCAATTGAAAACCTGTACTTTGAGAAAATGTCACAGAAACCTATTACGTTTGGAGTCATAGACATTTTTGCTTATAGTCTGGGTAAATAGCAGAAAAAAATAATTGGATACAAAAGTAAAAACTACTTTTTTGTTTTATGTTTAGGTGCATTCTTTTTTATTAAACTTTTTACATTTTCCGTTGAAGTTTGATTTTAAAAGCTCATCTTACACAGGAGTTTGGATGTTCCTCAGAAATCATATTGAAAAATCTTGAAATCTAGCCAGCGCTGAATTTCTTGGTATTGTATGCATAGTCCTTCAAACAAAGAGAATATGTCCTGACTTAAGGTTGACCGAAAAAAAGATTAGCCTACCTTACTTGCAAGAGAGCTTGACGGTCTTGCTGGATCATTGGATGAAATCAAACAAAAAAGGATGTAAGAAACTTACTTGTTCTCCTGGGTGACTGGTATATTTTCACCATTTGGTTTTAGAGGCTTGACTATTACTTCACCAAAAACTTCTCTGGAGATTTCAAAATTTAAACTGAACACATCTTGAAGATCGTCTCCTTTGTAATCTAAAATGTCTTGCAAACTCCTAAAGAGGAGAAAAATAAAACGCATACTTAGACATTTATTTGTGATAACTGAGGGAGTGGTTGTAAAAGTAATGATAATCAGTTTGCAAAAAACTTGTTCCCAGAAAAATTTACTTGTACTTAGCTAAAATTAGAGATGCTAGTTTTAGGGATACTTAAAAGTCGTTACAAGTTACAGGTATTTTGGAAGTTGAAACTTTTTTTTTATAGAGATAAAGGGCTCATTCATTAAAATGTATTTGCCTCTTGTAGTTATTTATTTATTTTTTTTATTTTACTTTTTTGCGTTCTAACCTGGAACATTTCCAGTTTTAAAAATCAAAGAATAATTTATTGGAATATTCCGACTTAATTTAATTTTATATTTTTTATTTATTTGAATGCTTCTTTTATGCCTTAAGAGGCATGCTGATACCAGCTGTATTACTTGATAGCACTTTGTGTAAGACATGCCTTGAGGTCGATGTTTGTTGCCTGTTTACCTCAACAGTTTGACCTCAAGTCATGGTCTCTTAGAGTGGACAGTAACAGATGCCTCCAGTTTGAATAAATGTTGTAATTATTCAATCTTATAACGTAAATTGGTCATTTTTGTACATTCAGTCAATATCATCAACTATCTTAAATGCCTAGGAACATTGTGGAATGATTAAAAAAAGGGGGGGGGAGAAAAAATTAGAGACAGGCTCTGGAAAGAATAAATAATCCAGGCAAAAAGGTGGACATACTTAGCCATTTGAGGTGAGAGATCTTTCAGATCTTGGAGTCCAATTGGTTCCTCCAGCAATTTCTTGTACAAAGCTAGTGGGAAAGGTAAATTAATGATTGTAAAGTTGTAAATGGCCAAACCACAGATCAGACCTGTCAGAAAAATAGAAAATCAACACATAAATGAAGAGATAGCTAATTTTCAAAACTCGTGATCAGATTTCAGATTCACGATTATTTGCAAGAGAAACTATTATCCAAGAGAGGGGTATCAATAAGAGCTGTTTTGGACTCGGCCCGAATTTCCTTAACTTTGTGGAGGTCTATGTTGTACGGATTGTACTATGATTCAGTGATTTTCGCTTTCTTTTCAGGTCTATTACTGGCTTGAACATGAGACTTAGAGCCGATTTTGACAAAAAATGCAGATTTTTTGGTATTCAACTGCAAATCCGCATTTTTCACCAATTCGGCCTTCAGACCCATGTTTAAGCCGGTATTAGACCTGAAAAGAGACTGAAACTGACCAAATCCTGATGCATTCTGTAAAATCAAGAATGCAAGAATGAGTAAAAAATCGTTAAGTTGAGGAAATCCAGCTAAGGTGGGCCCAAAAACGGCCCTTATCAATACCCCTCCTCTTTTAATTTTAAGAATTTAATCTGTTGATCATCAACATTTTTGAAAGTCAAATTCATTTGTATTCGAGCTTACAGCTAAAACAATCTGTAGAGAACAAGTACGTACCAATTAAACGATAGATTGTTTCATCTTCAAAAGAATATTCACTAAACCAAATTGTTCTAGTTTCTTCATAATATTGGAACATTCCATACTTGGGGTCCAGAATCTCTCTCAAAATAAGCATGAAAAATTCTTTCTTCACACCACCAGCATCTTCAGCTTCTTCATTCAAAAACGTAACCTAAAATAGAAAGAAAGAAAAATCAGTGGTAAGAACCGATATTGAATTGGCAAAAATTACGAGCAAAGCTTTTGGGGTTTGCTAAGACCTGTAGTTAGGTACCTGACAATTTCATTGTCTGACTTTTACTGTCCACCACGTTCAATTAGATATGTGAGATTCTATTTTATTTCTTTCAAGAGTGGAAAATATATAGAAAGTATTTTTAAAAAGAAACTTTAAATAACAACATAAAAAGCAAATAAAGAAACTACCTTGAGGGGTTTCTTGAAGTCTGCTTCTGAGTAATGAGAAAGTGCCTCAAAAGTACTGTGAATAATGTTGTTTCGGTTTACAAGCAGCTCGAGGAATGGGGGTGTGGAATTCATGGAAGAGAAAAATAGATTCCTTGCAGCAGCATAGCTAGCCTGAGTCATTGCAGAATGCATCTGAAAACCATACAAGAAAAAAAAAAATAGTTAGAAACAATCAGGAAGATAAAATTCATGAACTCATGGTGATTTTGAGGCATGCTTTTTATTTTTGAACAATGTACTGATTAGTGTTGTTGATGGCACGAAAAACTTAGGAAAATCTTACAACTTAAAGATTATTCAGTTTTGGTGAAACAGCAGGAATGCAAATCTTGGTTGCAATGTAGCAGACTCCCTGGTTTGCTTTAATTTTAAAATGGAAGAATACCTGACATCAGTTCTTGAAAACTTCTTTTTTGAAAATTTTGAGCAATAAAGACTGTTTGTTCTCCTTAGATGAAGTGAAATGCAAGCAGAGATATTCAGAAACTCCAAAGATACGCGTTCCTACAGTTTAACCGTCGAAATGTCACAGTATACTAAGAACAGAACCTTGAAATATGGAGATAAATTTTTAAGAAGTGCAGTTTTAGTCATTGAAATAATTGAAACTTGAGTTTTCAGTGGAACTCATTTCTGGTTGGTTTTGGTAGTCAAAGAATAATCAGGAAATGATCTACTCTATTTTTGTATTGGTAGAAGATGTAGGTGGAGTCCGAAAAACCAGAACCAGGCGTGTAGGTAAAACACAGAATAACTTTTTCCCAACGATACAACTTTTAAACTTTTAGCTTCGGATTTTAAAAAAAATTTTTAACTGTAGATTTCTGGTATGGTTTGACATTTTTTGGTATCTTTTCAGTCAAAAAGTTGGTAAGTCTTCTTATGGCGTTTGTAGACATGAACATCACAATTTTGCGTTTCTTAGCTCTGGGGTGATTGTTTTTGAGGTTGGTTGGGAATAAAGTGGTGGCAAAAAGGAAAATCTAAAGCAGATGTCAGAGAATAAATTGAATGTAAAAGAAAAGTAAGGAATACAGGGGAAGCATGACTCACCTGAATTTGTTGATCTACTTGCAGAATTGTAGTTTTGGCTTGTGCATCGAATAGGAATGGGTATTGGCAGAATAGATTAGGCTGAAAATTAAAAACAGAGACTTTGAAGAGAGTATTTCATTATCTGTTTTTTTCTTTGAAAATTTATTTTAATTTATTATTGTTATCTATTACACATTATTATTTTCTATTATTGTTCTGGTATTATTTGTATTTCATATTGGGCTGCAAATTAGAAACGTAGACTTTGAAGAGAGAATTTTATTCTCTACTTCATTTTGAATGTCATTATACTTCATGATACTACCTACATTCAGAAACTACCAGACCACATATCTTAGTTTGCAACGTTGCAGACTTCTTGTCGTACTATGTTTTGTGAACGTACTGTGTGTCGTACTATGTGAAGCCACTTAATGATGCTGAGCACTGCACTTTTAGATTTGATGCACAACTGATGCACTATGCGAGCACTGTAATATTGCACCACAGCTATAAAGACCAGCCCACTAATACAAAATTCCCGATCTTCAGTCACGATTTGTGAAGGAAATGAATAGTCTCCAACAGGAACAAGGCTGAGAGGAGAGGTCAATCTTCTAAAGTGACACATGATAATTATTTAAAAGCAACTATATGAATTGGGCACTTACCCTTCTGTTAGGGTTGAGAGCAAATTGACAATAATCTTCCATGATGTCGACTTTTTCAGTTAGTTCCGGGATGTAAAATGTTGAATAAGGCACTTTGAGATTATTATTTAGGGTGTTCATTTTCGCAAGGAATTCCACAGCCACGTACAATGCTTTGCTCCAATTCTGATTAAAAAGCAGATAATAATGATTAGTGACTGACCAAAAAATCTCAACTGATTAATTGAAATCAACCTAACTGATAGATATTTTGAAATAACACGAAGGGACCATCTGTAAATTATTTAACATCAAGGTCGTCAGTAGGTATTTCTGCTACTGCTAAGTACTACTAAACAGAAGGCAAGATTTTTGCAGTGATACTTATCTATTCACTGAATAATTTGACCAAATTCTTGAATGACGCATACCTAAATAAAATTAAAAACTATTTTTTTCTTGCTCTTTTGATATGATAGGGTCTTTTCTTTTTTTATATATGTACTTTAGAGCAACACAAACACAATGGATTACTTTAACGTGACTTTTAAAGCAAGTTCCGAACTTGAGGGAGGACCTGTTGAGACTGACATCACGGCTATATTTAGGAGAGTTTACACACAGTGCTAAGGATCATTACAAGAGAGGAAAAGGTTCTAAAAAACCTGTAAATTTAGTGTTGACTTAATTTAAGGGTTACCCTAATTTATCTACTTGATGTATGCTGGCTAAGATCAGAGGATGTTTCTACAATACAATAAGATAGGAAATATGATACAAACTACAGATATGGATTAAAGCATGGCATCCACAGAAATGGAATCTTCGCTATAAGTTCATTTAGAGAGTCATTACATTTCGAGTCAGGTGCTATTTTTTTAAAAATTTGTTTAGACATTTTTTCCAAGGGTTAGCAGTTGAAAAATAACTGACTGCTCAGCTAAAGAATATTCTGTTGTATTTGAAAAAATAGTCAAATTGCATACGTATTAATGAGAAACTGACCAGATTATTCATGCGATGAAGTTGATCAGAAACGACTATTTTGTAAATTCTAATTAGCCGCTCAAAATATTCTTCAGACATCATGCGATACCAATAACCTGAAAAAATAAGACCAAACATTTTCAGCATATCACCATTATCCACTAAGAATACAACTATTAGATTATCGAACCTCGATAAGTTTTCTTTCCCGTTCACTTTACTGGGAAACTTTTCATTCCAGAGCATTTACAACTAAACATTATGTGATTAAAAACCTGCTTCACCTTTCTTGATAAAATATAAGAGAAGAGGATATTAACTGTAATTATACAAATTTCTTTGCAAATTTCTTCAATTACAACATGAGGCATTGGGACAAATGATTTTTTTTATTTCACTATCAATACATTACAAGGTGCTCTTGATATTACAGTAGCCCATCACTGAATCTAGGAGGAAATGAGGCAAATAATATGGATTTCACTTTCGAAGACTTTCTTTTAAAAAAATAAATAAAACGACATGCTTTCGATTCATTGATTGAGTCGAATTTAAAAGTTGTAAATCCAAATGGTAGCAAAAATGGAACTTAGTTTCTCTGATCTACACTCACCAAGTACTTCTGCTTGTGTGTCTCTCAAGTTTAAAATTGCTTCAGCAAAAGGCACTTGCAGCTGATTTTGGTGTTTGGGATTGTCAAACTCATGATAAAAAGGCATGATCAGATAAAATCGGAGTACTTCGAAGTCCAGTGGTTGGACTGGTAGAGAACGCATGATGCTGCAGAAAGACGTGAGGATCTGAAAAGAGAAATGCAATATTGGTAACCAAGATTTCAAAGGATATCCTCAGAAAATAGACTACAAGAAAAAAAAAAATAAGCTCATTAAACTAACTTTCTCCCTGAGTCTTTCTTCTCGTTTTAATAAGACCTTCCAAGGTTCAGAGTTATCCACTATGATCAATTTCTTTAAGCTCTGCAAGTTATTGCCCCATGAAACACAATCTGTTACTATGCAGAGGGCAGTGCGACAAAAATTTTAGTGCGGGGCGATGAAACAAAGTTTTTGCATCCCCCCCCCCCCCCCCCCCCGCACTATGAGGGAGAATAAAATAATTATTCATAGCCCCTTGCCAAAAAAATTAAGAGTTTCATTCCCCCAAATTGTATCACTGGCTTGATAATCTCAGACTGCTATGGGACACCATCAAAATCATCAGAAACTTCTCAATGACATTCTTCATCACTTTATTATATACACTTGACAGTGCTCCCTCTAACGAACAGGGTATCGCTGCAAAGCCCCACAGATTTTATCCCCCCCCCCCCC